AATCAACGCCCACAACTACTTTGTGTTCTACTCGTGCATAGAAATTACGCATAGACCTAGCTCATGATGCCACTGTTGGGTAACGTAGCAATAATTCAAAATTTTCCTACGTGTCACCAAGATCAATCTATGGAGTCATCTAGCAATGAGGGAGGAGTGGATCTACATACCCTTGTAGATCGCGCGCGGAAGCGTTCAAGAGAACGAGGTTGAAGGAGTCGTACTCGTCGTGATCCAAATCACCGATGATCCTAGCGCCGAACGGACGGCACCTCCGCGTTTAACACACGTACGGAGCAGCGACGTCTCCTCCTTCTTGATCCAGCAAGGGGGGAAGGAGAGGTTGATGGAGATCCAGCAGCACGACGGCGTGGTGGTGGAAGTAGCGGGATTCCAACAGGGCTTCGCCAAGCGCTGCGGGAGGAGGGAGATGTGTCATGGGAGGGAGAGGGAGGCGCCAGGGCTTAGGTTGGGCTGCCCTCCCTTCCCCCTACTATATATAGGGCCAAGGGAGAGGGGGGGCGCAGCCTTGGCCCTTCCTCTAAGGAAGGGTGCGGCCAGGGAGGAGTCCATCCACCCCAAGGCACCTAGGAGGTGCCTTCCCCCTTTAGGACTCTTCCTTTCCCTCATCTCTTGGCGCATGGGCCTCTTGGGGCTGGTGCCCTTGGCCCATATAGGCCAAGGCGCACACCCCTACAACTCATGTGGCCCCCCGGGGCAGGTGGACCCCCTTGGTGGACCCCCGGACCCCTTTCGGCACTCTCGGTACAATACCGATAATGCGCGAAACTTTTCCGGCGACCAAAACAAGACTTCCCATATATAAATCTTTACCTCCGGACCATTTCGGAACTCCTCGTGACGTCCGGGATCTCATCCGGGACTCCGAACAACTTTCGGGTTACCGCATACTAATATCTCTATAACCCTAGCGTCACCGAACCTTAAGTGTGTAGATCCTACGGGTTCGGGAGACACGTAGACATGACCGAGACGACTCTCCGGCCAATAACCAACAGCGGGATCTGGATACCCATGTTGGCTCCCACATGTTCCACGATGATCTCATCGGATGAACCACGATGTCAAGGACTTAATCAATCCCGTATACAATTCCCTTTGTCTAGCGGTACGATACTTGCCCGAGATTCGATCGTCGGTATCCCGATACCTTGTTCAATCTCGTTACCGGCAAGTGTCTTTACTCGTTTCGTAACACATCATCCCGTGATCAACTCCTTGATCATATTGTGCACATCATGATGATGTCCTACCGAGTGGGCCCAGAGATACCTCTCCGTTTACACGGAGTGACAAATCCCAGTCTCGATTCGTGCCAACCCAACAGACACTTTCGGAGATACCTGTAGTGTACCTTTATAGCCACCCAGTTATGTTGTGACGTTTGGCACACCCAAAGCACTCCTATGGTATCCGGGAGTTGCACAATCTCATGGTCTAAGGAAATGATACTTGACATTAGAAAAGCTTTAGCATACGAACTACATGATATTGTGCTAGGCTTAGGATTGGGTCTTTGTCCATCACATCATTCTCCTAATGATGTGATCCCGTTATCAATGACATCCAATGTCCATGGTCAGGAAACCGTAACCATCTATTGATCAACGAGCTAGTCAACTAGAGGCTTACTAGGGACATGGTGTTGTCTATGTATCCACACATGTATCTGAGTTTCCTATCAATACAATTCTAGCATGGATAATAAAGATTATCATGAACAAGGAAATATAATAATAACTAATTTATTATTGCCTCTAGGGCATATTTCCAACACTTTTGGGGCGCGTCCTCCCGTCGGGCACTAAGTCAGAGGTAAATGCATATGGCTCGTCCACTACGGACGCGAGACATGCCCGTCGTGTGACGTAGAGGGTGCGGGAGGCCGCGGTAGCCCTCGAGGCCCACCCGTCCTCATCCATCATCGATCTCACCTCCACCGACAATGTCAAGGCCATGGGAACCGATGAGGAATAGTAGAGAATGGGAGACGGTGGCAACTCGTGACCCATATGGGCCAGTCGTGTCCCATGTCCTACTCTTCCTCGCCGGCAACCGGGCATTCAGTTCCCGGGGCTCGCGGGCATCAGGCAAGGGCAGGGAAGGGAACAACAAGGACTTGGAGGACGGCCGTGGGCAAAGATTTAGAGTAGGTTTTACATTGCAAGTAATTGTATGGATTTGAGGATTTGCTAATGATGTATCTGTGGAAAGCGAACTTTTGAGGAGTGACCTGTCACCGTTCGCAGGTATTTAGGGGGTCATATTAGCTAGGTTTGTCTGTAGTTGCTCTTATCATACCACAATTCTTTTGAACCTGACGAGTGCCCGCGAGGGTCGGTGTCGCCAGATCTGTCGGTTCTTATCGGATGTTGCCAGTTGTTATGTCTATCAAGGAAAGCAGTTGACTAGTTATTGACGTGGCAACGTCGACCTCTTCGATTGTTTTCTTCTGTGACAAGGTCTGGTTTATACAACCCTCTTGATTGGAGGCGAATGGGTGCAAGTTCGTGTTGCCTGAGGTGTCGCCCCAACTGATGTTCCTATAGCGGTCACTGATCTCGTTGTTAGTCGGGAGCAACTATCGTAGTCTTCAAAGCATTGTACTTCCCGCAAAAAAGGCTTCAAAGCATTGTACATCGAGCGCATTTGTAGGTTTCCCTACCTTTTAATGTCTGTTTAGTGTAATTTCCAAGCTCCGTCAGGTGACAAACAAGTGAATGAAGAAGACGACCAGTGTGATTTATGTTGTAATTTTAAATTTTACAGGTCATTTTGTATCTGGTTGTCCTTTGATTATATTGTCTACTCGAAGGGAGTATCATATATGAGATGGACTTTGGGAGTATTCTCTCCGGAGAAAAATGTCAATTCATGAAAGCTTATTTGGCACCCATCATTTGTGTCTGAATTCGCGGAATTCATTTACGAATCCCAACATGAACAAGTTTGTCTAGCCAGGAATTTGGCCTGTAAAATCATTCCACATATCCAGCTGACTGAAACGCGATGAAAAACCAAATCCCGTCCAACACCTTGTCATTTCACAAATCCGCTCACACCGGACGCCCTTATCTCGTCCCCGATGCCCGCGTCTCCTTGAACCACCACCATGCACGAGTTCCGTCGCCGCCGGAATCCATCACCACCGGCAGGGCGTCCCCATCTCCTGAACATTCTTAATTACCATATGGGACGGTCGCTTTAGGGGAGGCCGGGAGTGGGGGCTGCCCTCACGAAGGCGACGGCGAGGGCATCCTGAACAAACACTGGTGAGATGGTGATGCAAGGAAGGATTTGATCCATTCGCCACTTCAAGAGCAAAGTGGAAGCAGTAGGGGGAGTTGATGCTACGTCACCAAATTTAAGGATCGCGACAACTATCGCCGTGGAAGCCACCGTGAGCAAAACATTGTTGTATGTGTGAACAACATAATATTGTTGCTTATTTGTGTTGGTAAGGATTTTACTTCAAAATCCTAGCGTCAGCAAAACATATACTACTTCGTCCCATAATATAAGACGTTTTTTGTAAGCTAACAAAGTTAACAAAAACACCTTATATTGTGGGATGGAGGGAGTAGTTCGGATTGCGAATCTGTGTTTTGCCATTTCAAATGAAATGAAATCAGGGGAGCCAAAGGAGCATAGAGAAGTTTGTGCCACTTGAGTTAACGGACGGCGTCCTCGCCCAGATCCGTCCCGTCACTCGCTCGACGGCTGAGATTCGTTGCTGCCGTTATTACAAAACAAACGAAACGATGATAGGATGCACTAATGTAGGACCAGTACTGTACCGCAGCTGGAACCCTAGCGAGCAATCTCCCAAATCGCCGCTAATCCCATACCCGATCCGTACCTGACAGCGTCGCGCCCGCGGCCGGCCTCTGCTCCGCTCGCCGCCCGCTTCCCCCCGCGCGCGTCGTCCCGGGGTCGTCTCGCCGCCCCCGAGCTCCGTCCCGTCGGCCTCCTCGTCGAGGCCGCCCCCTGGTCCCCGCCCCGTTTCACCGAAATCGGACCGCTCTTCGCCTGGTCCCCGCCGTACCAGCTGTCACAAGGTGAGGGCCTTGGGCCATCGGTGCCGGTTTTTTTTTTCTTTCAGCTAGAATGGATTGCTCTGGGATGACATGGTGATGAAATTTGCTGCTGTATACATGCTCTTGCATATAGCTGGAATGGAATCTGCCCTTGTGTATTACCATGAACTGGCTATTGGTGTCAATTTTTATATACACGAACTTGCGAACTTGCTCTTGATGTCAACTCGTGCGTACTCTGTGTGAGCATATGTCCGAGTTTGTTGAGGTGCAAAGCACAAATACAGGAGATAAAATGTATGATCACTCTTGTCCCATGTCTGCCCATTTGATTAAGATGTATGATCACTCCAGTTCCATGTCTGCCCATTTGTTACCGAACATAAATTCGTAGATTCTTTAATGTTTGCAGTTTGTTGCCTTTCTCAGTTAGGCAAGAAACTGTCCTTAATAATGATGCTATTAACTGTGGCCAATGCCAAATCCAAGGTTTGTTTCAGCTTCTGAATTTTAGGCCAAAAATCATCCAAGGGTTGGTTTAAGCGTCTGAATTGTAGGCTAAAATTTGAAAGTCAGGGGAATTCGTTTCTTGCTCATATCTTCAGTAACGCAGTAAGCGATAACACATGTCGATTAATCAGGATAAGGTTACAGTCTAGGGTTTCCCAGGGGCTTTTTTTTCACCATTGTTTCTATGCGAAGAGAAGCTTCAGCTGAAAGAACCGCACCCCTAGATCAGCCCTGGATGCTAGGTCACACCCTTCTGTGTCTGATATGATTTCTGTATGTTCTGAAATTTCTTCTGTACCTCCATAGCTATCTGACTGGCTACTACTCTCGTATTTTCTATCTATATTGTGCATCCACTTGCTCTTGTTATTTGTGGTGCTACTAATCATGGCGTGTTGTTGTCCTCATCTTTTCAGTTAAGCTGCTTGCACAATGAGAGTAGAGGACAAAAAAAGATCCCTAACAGTTGCCCCCTTCAAGTGTGCTTGGGGCGAGGAGTTCCGGTTTGTGGAGGCTGGGCGTGGGTGCATTGCGTTCGAGGCATCTGCCCAGAATGATGTTACCCTGGTGTTCCGTGAACAGCCTGGGAGCCAGCACTACCACTACAAAATGGACAGCAGTCGTCATTACGCTGTCATCTTGGGTAGCCATAGGAACAAAAGGTTGAAGATTGAAGTGGACGGAAGGACTGTTGTCGATGAAGCTGGAGTCGGCCTATGCCGCTCATCATCTTTCCAGAGCTACTGGATCAGCATCTATGATGGATTGATAAGCATTGGACAAGGAAGGCATCCAAACAACAATGTCCTCTTCCAGTGGCTCGACCCTGATCCCAACCGGAATGTTCAGTATGTCGGATTATCCAGCTGGGACAAGCACGTGGGCTACCGAAATATAAGTGTTCTTCCATCAGCTCCTCAAAACAGCATCCGTTGGAGTCAAATTGAGTATGCATATGCTGAGCGGCACGGGGAAGGAGATCATGCTAAAAATGAAGAATCAAAAGATGGCTGTGAGCAAAGGGTGATTGCAGACTTTCTTGAGAGCTGGGATTTCTCCGATGCTATGTTTGTTGTTGGTAGTGAAAGAAAGGTTGTCCCTGCGCACAAAATTGTCTTGGCTGCTTCTGGAGAGTTTGATTTTATCTCAATGAGTGGAACTGCCATCGAGCTTCCGTCATTCTCCTACCCAGTTCTCCACTCGCTTCTTGAGTATATCTATACTGGGTCTACTCAGGTAAGCTTCGATTTGTTTCAAATGCTCTTATATTGAAATTATGCAATGGTGGAGACCGTTAATGTATAGTGTGCTCTTATTTTGGGGTTAACACAGATTGCAGAGTGGCAACTGGATTCACTGCTGGAGTTGAGCTTACAATTTAAAGTTAAACCTTTGGTAAAACGTTGTGAGGAAATGCTCGACTGTTTTACTAAGATGGATAATGATCTCTCTGTGTCTAGTAGAAAGTTAGAAGTATCAAGTAGTGGATCTAAAGCCCATCAAGTTGATTATTTCCCTTTCAAGGCTCCAGTGAGTGTGCAGAAAATCAAACAATTCCTTGCAAGTGGTGAGCATAGTGATATAAACTTCTTTGTTAGTGGACAAGGTTTTGTTGCCAAGGCTCACAAACTCGTCCTTAGCTTGTGGAGCATGCCATTCGCCAAGGTACATCTTCGTCCCAACATTGTATTTGTTTCTGGTTTTTCCTTTGTTGGTTTACAATATGCATATTTTGGCATAGTGCATCAAACTTAGTGTAATCAAAGATACTAGTATACTTATGCAGATGTTCACAAATGGAATGAAAGAAAGCAGCGCTCCAAATGTATTTTTCGAAGATGCTTCTGCTGAAGCATTTTCTCTCCTCCTTCAGTTTATGTACAGTGGGGAACTTAAAGTGGATAACCGGTATATCACACCTGCATTGGTTCAGCTCCTCTTATTATCAGATCAGTTTGGCATCACTGTTCTTCAGTTTGAATGCTGTAAAAGAATTATGGAATTCCTTTCAGAGGTACCTTTGCTTTCTCTTACATAGAATGGTACACCAAGTGATGCTATTTAGTAACTTTTATCTGTTGCTATTCAAGACTTGACGCGGGCCTGTGCTGGTTGTAGAAGTGGGGCCATTAGCCTCAGAATTCAATTCTTTGAGATATTGATACAACTTTCCATCTGCATTATACATGCAGGATTCGACTGTTCTACCGGAAGAAGCTTATTTTAACGAATTTAAGGGATATGGCTTGTGCACATTTGGTGAACTTGCTAGCTGGCTCGGCATAGACTGACCCCTGAAAGTTTATTGCAGGACACAGTATGTTCAGTATTACAAGCAGTGTCATCAATACCATCTTGTAAACTGCTTGAAGAAATGTGCAAACAGAATTTTGCAACACACTTTGATTATTGCACAACTGCTTGCACGGACTTTGTGCTGTTAGATGAGGCAACATTTAAGGATATTCTTCAGGCAAGTTGGAATACTGTTTTCATTTTATCAACTGCCCTGCAGTCAGGCCAAATACGAATCACGTCCATGCGAAAATAGATATAAGGTAACCAGACCACCGAGATTGAGCATCACATTCGAAAGCTGCAATAGACTGCTTCAACTGCCACTTCCCACAAGTGCAGCGATGTTACTAGAAACAACTTAAGGATTATAACTGTGTTGATAATGCTCTTCAAAAGAAATCTCATATCTAATTTTGGACTTTTCCTACCAAGCAAAGGTTTCTTCCTGTAGTCTTTGTAAAATGGTAACTTTTCTGTAGTAATCCAATCCTACAATTGTTGGGTGGAATCTGTTGATCAACCTGCACCTGTAGAAACAGAATAAAAAAGAATGTCATGTGGTTGGGTATGGATGGTGAAAGCTCTCTTTTATTACTTCAAATGTTGGTTTTGCCAACATATGCTGAACATCAGTGGTATCGCTGGTGCATGTATTAAAGTTAAGGATTACATAGTTGAATAAATCTGTATGGAACTGCATGCTAAGTTTCTTGTGAGTTGCGAAAGGGCATGCATAACATTTGTCCTAAATGGACTGCGTTGCTGAGAAGTTTAGCAAGTTTTTCTTGTCGACATTGGTCATATTAGTAGTAATTTTGCAGCAAGGTGATATGACTGTGACATCGGAAGAGAAGGTTCTGGATGCCATCTTAACATGGTGTATGGAGGCTTGTGAAACTTTTTACTGGAGTTCTGTAGATAAGCTATTAAGCACTTCAACACCAGAGCAGCTCTTTGGAGAGAGGCTCACCGCCATCAATACTTTACTACCATTTGTGCGGTTCCCTCTAATGCCGCCGTCTCTCCTTCAGCGGGTACTACCGTTTGTTTTTATATTGTCCTATCATGGATCAGTTTTAACCTTCTGCTGAGTGTTTGTTTTGCTCCTAATAAACACTTGTTGGTTCTCTGCAGATGGAGAAAAGTAACCTAGCAAAGCACATACAACTGTTCAGACAGTTGGTTAGTAATTCTATAGATCCATTTCTTTGGCACGTCAGGGTATGTTATCCTAAACAGGAACTGTACAGCTGATTTACTTCTTGGACAACAGGTTGCAGAAGCCATTGAGTTCTCTAATGCTGGTGCTTGGATGATGATGACAAACAAATGGTCAGTATATGTTAATGCATTGATCAAGTTCAGTAAGAGTTGGTATGCCTGAATATTTATGAACCTTAAACCTTCCAGTGAGAGATTTCTACATAGACGCTCAAGCTATAGAGAGCTTCAGTATATTTCTGATGGTGATAACAATGGTGTGATCTACTATGCTGGGACGTCATTCGGGAAGCATCAATGGATCAATCCTGTTTTAGCCAAGGTAAGAGAGAGGTTTGTGTTTGTGAGTATTCAACATAGAAGTAACTCGGGTTTTCAGTGGCTCTAATTCTCTGCGACCAGAATATCACTGTGACGGCAAGCAGCCCAAATTCGAGGTACACGGATCCAAAGGCTCTGGTTTCAAAAAATTACCAGGTATCGATGTTGTTGAGAATGCTTGGAATATTATTTTTTTAGTATTATTTTCCCTTGCATGGGATAAAGTTGACATGTTGGGACACATGACATCAGGGGACTTGTTTTGCTGGGCCTCGAGACGAAGATGGCAAGAAGTGTTCTTGGTGGATGGTAGACATTGGACAGGACCACCAGGTTGTTTATGTGAAGAAATAAAAGAAAAGGGTTCTTTTGTTTGATTTGAGCAAAGACGTTAAGTTATTGTGTTCTGTTTTCGTGCAGCTTATGTGCAACTACTACACGGTAAGGCAGGATGGCTCTACGGCATTTATGAGGTCTTGGATTCTTCAGGTACAAATCTTTCTTTGCTTTGCGTTTCTTCTGAGACTGAGAGCTGAATGGTTGACATGAGCTAACCATGCATCGCGCATGTCAGGGATCCATGGATGGTGAGAACTGGACAAGCCTCATTGTTAACGAGGACGAGCGGGCCATCTGCCAGCCAGGGCAGTTTGCGTCGTGGCCGATCACAGGCCCGGCGGCGCTGCTGCCATTCCGGTTCTTCCGGCTTGCTCTGACGGGGCCGACGACCAGTAACACCTGGAACCTCTGCATCTGCTTCCTGGAGCTCTACGGCTACTTCCGCTAGACGGAGACAGGTCTCGTGTAAGATGTTTTCTGTTGTTTTAAAGATTAGAACTGCACCAGATGTGACAAAGAAGGACAACACTGTATGTATCACTGTTTACACACAGCACAAACACCTCTTGCTTGAGTTACACACACACACACTGGTACAAGCATGTGGTACATAGAGTTCATAAAAGGATACTTGTAATAAGCTGGAATAAATGTTTCCGCAAAAAGAAAGTTGGAATAAACGTCTGTTTGTTTTGCTTCTCCCTAGTTGTAGAACTTGAGAATGTTGTCTGAAATGTGCATACAGCTTTGATGTGCTATGCCTAGCTTCATCAGCATCTCTTTACAATGTTCTCTTAAAAGCCACAGATTTCACCGTTGCACAACTTTCTCATTAGTCAGTACACCACTTTAGCATGTAGTAATATCATCCTTGTATGAAAAGACTGCGGATCGACAGTATGGATGTATGATATCTCTGAAAAACAGTTCTGAAGCGCTTCAGCTCCTTGTTATATATACCTCAATTATATATATAATCGGTTTCGTTCTTTGGTCGCCTCGGGTATATATATATTCTTCGATCGCGCATTAACTTGCATATGCTATCAATCAAACTGAAATATTTGCGAAAAGATTTACAAGCTGATTGACGGACACATCTCAAAGGTAGCAAAGCATTTCCCTCCGTGCAAATCTAGCTAAGCTAATACACCTCCCTTTTCGGCCTGTTCCTGGCGCGCGTGCCTGTGCCAGTGGCTGTGACAAGGACCTGCTCCTTCTCCGCCGCCGGCAACGGGGCCTCGTCTCCGCCGCCGACGTACTCTCCGCCGTCGTCTGCCGCCTCCTCGGAGGAAGCCTCGTTCTCCTCCAGTATCGCCTTGTTGATCTCCATCTGCACATGCACACACGTATTTTATCTCTGAATGATAGCACAGTACATGCCAATCAGCAGAGCCTTGTTCATACACAATACGTACCTCCCGGAGGAACCGCTCGTCGAGGTCGTCGGCGACGCGGGCGGCGGCGACGAGGGTGCCGACGAAGAGCGAGAGCGGGAGCACGAAGGCGAGGATGAGCACGTTGGTGCTCGGCGGCCCGCCCGCCCGCACCACCATGGGCCGGCGCCGCCGCGGCGGCCTGGCGCTGACGCGGACGGCGGGCCGTCCGAGCGCCGACGCGCCCCCGCCGAGGCGCGGCTGGATGGAGAGAGCGGCGAGGGCTCGAGAAGCCATGGACGGACGGTGGAGACTGGAGAGGCTCTGCTCGGCTGCCTGCGCGGGCGGAGAGTGTGATAGGACGATGGCGTTTGTCTTATCCATTCTCTCCTCTGCGCCACGTCGCCCCGATTAATCCTAGCCGCCCGATCGTAGCGGTACCTGCATGTTTTTTTGTTGGCGAGAGTACTTGCATGCTTAACCGTTAGGCCCTACGACCATCTCAGCGGCCAACGGGCCGGAAGCCCACGCCAAGCGTGCACAAGACGAACAGAATAATATCATAAAAAAGGGGCACCTATTGGATGCTCACTGCGTCAAAACGCCCACAACAAGTCGCTCTAGCACGCAGCACTACTTTGTTTTGGGTAAAGGGATATATTTCTTTTGCAAAACAAGACATTTTAAATTTCGATTTTTTCCTGCAATCGTGAAGAATGTATTTAAAAATTTGAACATTTTTCCAAAAAAAAATCAAGCTTCTTTCGCTATTGTGGATTTTTTAAACACACCTTTATTTTAAAAACATGAACATTGTTTTCAAATTGAGAGTAATTTTTAAACACGTGAACAGTTTTCGAAACATGAACATTTTTTTTGCAATTGAGATCATTTACTAGAGATTCAGAACATTTTTAAATTTTCAAACAATTTTTGTGAAATTCCAACATTTTTTAAATTCCAAATATTCCGAATATACTTCTAAATTGGGGGCATTTTTTGAAAATCTCAAACCATTTATGAAAATTCTGACTTTTCTTGTAAAATTGTATAAATTCCAATGATTTTTTGGGAAATTTATAAAATTCTGAGCAATTCTGGAAACTGGATTTTTTTAAACTCCAAAAAGTTAATGATTCTCTTCAAAAGCCAAAATATTTGGGAAATTGCATTTTAAAAAATATTAAGAAATTAAAAGAACTCTTAAATAAATAGCAGGAAAAAATTGACCGGCAGCTTCAAGAATGTTCCTAAAAGCAAGAAAACCGTATTGGAAGCTTTTTTTTGGTTATTGGAAGCTCCTAAAACGTTCCCAAAACAGTAGAACACCTAGAGTAGGTAAACAGGTTGGTCTAATCTGGTCCCTCGCCTTGTACAGTGGGGCGACAATATGCCGCATGTTGCGAGAAATAGGATGTGCCTCATGAATATGTCGAAAAACGAAAGACTTCTTTAATTACAAGAAAACTTTCTAATGAAGATTTGGCATTGGATGATCACCTTGTTGTTTCAGATTGCAAACCAGTTGTGGCTGATATCCAGGATGGCATACCAGGAACAATGGTGTAATGGCAATTCTTGATGCAGTTTAGTTCCACCCATGAAAGGACGGCTTCAACTTTTGAGGCTCATAATCTCACAAAAATAATTTATCACTAGATGTTGGCCGCCAGGGATGGCTAAGCAGTCCTTATGATAACATTCTTGTATCTTTAAATATCTTTTCTTGGCAGTAAAACTGTGGTTATCTAAAACAACAAACCTTTTTAAATACAATTCTTTTATATTATTTAAACGAAATTTCTGAAGTTAAATTTTGTTATGTATATGAGTTTTAAATTTTTGATATGCGCATGGTTAGTTATAGTTTACTGTAGTTTTTAGCGGATGTATGACTGTGGAGCTTTTATTTTTGTGATTTAGTGCTTGGTTGTGGTTTTCCTGTTTTTTTAATGCGCTTGTTTTCTATTTTCAATTAATGATTTATATATCACAGGTAAATTTTACAGTAAACAATTCATATTAGATGAATATTTTGAAATATCAGAAAATTTCTAAAATTACACGATCATTTTAACATGAGGTTACTTTTTTAAAATACATGAAAATGTTCCAAAAGGAACCGATCAATTTCTTAAATTATGTGAATATTTTAAAAATATATGCAAACAATTATTTAGTTACACAAACATTTTTATTAAATTTTTGAATACCTTTTGTACTTCCATAAATATTTTTTGGTGATGTCAGAACAGTTTTTAAATTGCATGATTATTTTTAAGAAAAGAATCTGAACAGCATTTTGACATCTATGAACATATTCCAATGATGTGTTATAATCTTATACGTTCATAAAACACAAATATTTTACTTATGTTTTAATTAATAATATAAAATTTTATTGGACAAACAAAAAAAAATACAGCCTGTTTTCTATCTATGAACACTCCTTTTAATCGGCAAACATTTTTTTAACAAATGAACATTTTTGGAATCGATGAAATTTTTTGAATTAGCTAATTTTTAAGTTGATGGACAATTTTGAAACACAGAATTTTTTTTACTGTGTTTAAAAATTTGATTCAGCAAATTTTTGTTTTTGAATTATATGACCATTTTTTGAATCTGCAAACACTTTTACAGCCAACCATTTTTTGAAATTCATGAATATTTTGCGGATGACAGTCATTTTTAAAAACTGGATGAACATTTTGAATCAGCGATCATTTTTTGAATCAGTGAAATTCTTTTGTAAGTCATGATCATTTTTTATTTTGTGATTTTTTTTAAAAATGCATTAACATATGTTGAATTCGTGAAATTTTTGTTCAACTTCATGAATATTTTTCAATATGTAAACTTTTTTTCAGTCATGAAAAAAGTTACTAATCCTCCAATAGTTTATGAATTTTGGAACAATTATTTTAAGGGAAATGATCCTAATCAACCGATCCAGCAATTGCATCCGCTGCCTCCGTCATCGGACACGTGTCCCTGGCAAACAATTATAGCATCGCACGGTCATATCCTTATCTACTCTTTTTGGTTCTCATCCACTCGTTACTTTCCGCACCGAACGCAACTACGTCGTCTTCCTCAATCTATCTCGCGTTTTCTCTCTCACAGCGTTGCTCAACGCCAAGCTGGTCGTTGCTCCCGCTTTGTCGCGCGCCGCCGCCACCGCAAGGACTGCTGCAGGCCACAACTCTTTTTGTTTCTGAGCTCTCCATCCATGGCGCTCTAAACGTCGTCGTCGCCCGTCGAGCTGCAAGTCCTTCTCTCCTGATTGTCCTCTCCAACTGCTCCTCTCCCCGCCTCCCTATGCCTGCATGGGTCCTGTTGCAGAAATTTAGATGCGGCAGAGATCTTGTTTAATTTTTGCAACAAGGGTCTTGTGGCAGAAAATAGGACGCAATGGGAGATGTTGTTGTAATTTTTGCAACAAGAATCTTGTTGCAGAAAATTAGACGCGTGAAAGATGTACAGAAAATTAGACGCTTGTTTCAGCAACTCGACTGTTGTTTCAGGAAATTTGTAGAAGATGAGGCTTCGCAACAAGGTCTTGTTGCAGGAAATCAGAGCAGACTAGATCTTGTAACAAGAGCATTGTTGCAGGAAATTAGAGAAGGGGATTGAACGGCTCGCGTCACGCATTGAATGGCTCGCGAGACGCTTGTTTCTGCAACTCAATCGCTGTTTCAGTAATTAGTGGGTCGGGGGAGGAGACCGAGCCGCGCGCCAGAATAGATCGGACGGCTGCGCGCGCGTACATCGAACAGCCGTCGAGGTGGCGGATGTGTCATACAGATCACCCAGCGGACGCGTAGCGTCTCCCTTATTTTAAAGAAGAAAAAAACGAACAATAGCTATAAAAGGAAAAAAGAAATAAAAAAGTGGGCGTCGATCCCCACTCATGGGCCGGGCCAATTGGGCGCTCGGGAGGGGTGTGGGTGCGCGCTGGCTTGTTCACCAGCGCCTCACGTGCTAAATAGGAGCTTCCACCTGTATTTCCTCCCATAAAAACTTACAAAATGAATTCTACATGATCATGAGCTATACAAAAATCACTATGACATAATTTGAGCCATACAAAAATGACAGAATGGCTATATCTAAATAGTGAATAATACATTTACTGTTCATCTTTCCAAAATCATACTCCCTGTCAAAAAACTTTGTACATTATGGGAGGGAGAGAGTACTTATTCTCCTTTTTGTTTTACTCGCATGGTTATTTATTTCAGCATCAAAATTTATACACGTGTGATGTACATCCATATAAACATGTTGATTTTTTAATAATATTTTGAAACTTGAAAAATACTATTTTGGCATCATTCAAAAAATAGGGCTCAGTGGAGGAAAAAGTCACTTTGAAGGACGAGCTTCAACGAGCCCAATATTTTAAATAGTGCCAAAAAGGTGTTTTTGAAGTTTCAAAAAATTCTAAAAAAATCAACATGTTTATAGTAGTACTATACAATACCCGATTCTACAGGGTGGCAGGATCATACTGAGCCTGATTCTGAAAACAGGAAAGAAAATATCCACAGCCACACTCTCCTGGAAGACGTCCGAACACACACTCGCCATGTCGCATCACAAACTGGATGATATTCATGGCCATCGGCAACGATACCACCAACAGTAACAAGGAAATGATCGAAGGGTGGAGACGCGGACGCCGGTCGTGGTCGGCGGGGTGGTGTGACTGACACAGGTGGACCATACACGCACGTCTCCGGGCGGCCGACCCACCGCGTCGCGCCGCTCGCTGCTCACTCTGTGTATTTAAAAATTGAACCGAAAAACCATATCGAAAATAAACCGAACCGAACCGATTTTATGGTTATTATGATTTCTGGTTTCGGTATGGTATGAACTTTTCATACCGATTTGAACTTGGTTTTTATGGTATATACCGGAAAACCAAACGGTTAACCGAATAAACCGAAGTAAAAAATAAATTTATATTTCTTGAGATGAACAACCATACAAGTTGTCATTTTTCTTGTACATGAGTCAAATGCACTACTAAGCACATAATTTTTTCTTGTAACATAGTCATTTTTCTATTTTTAAAATGCTAAGCACGTCCATAACCATCAACAGATAAATCAATGCATGCATATATACTTATATATATATATAGTCATATACTATTTGTGTAGAATAGTATGTGTTTTGAGTCATAAATTTGCTAATTATTATTACGTCATTTCTAAATTGGTGTCAACTTTGGTTTTTATGGTATATACCGAAACTATACTGAAATAATTTGATATATACTAAAACCG